GAGCTAGAGATCTTCGCTTCAGGTAAAGAGTTTTTGTTATTTCCAATCTCGAATCTGGTGTCTTCTCGGTTCTTGATTCTCGAAAAGTTCGTGAATTTGTGTGAGAGATTCTTTCAAATCTGCATATTGGATTTTGTCTATATTTCATTTTTTAAGCTTCTTTCGGACATGTAAATCTTGATTTGGTCTGAATTTTGCAGTGTTTGGGGATCAGATAATGTTACCGGAGAGAAGAAGTACGGTGGTTTCTTCTTCTTCATCTTCATATCTGAATCAATCTGGTCACAATGATAATTCTTTTTTGCTTCTTCGGAGAGGCAAAAAGTTTGGTCGGATAGTGAAATTGAAGCTCTCACATTTGTTCTTGTTCTTTGTGTCACTCTTTTTCTTCTCTTGCATGTTCTCTGGCCATAAACTACTCTTTCATGGTAAGCTTTGGACTAAGAAAAATGTCCTTTTTTATTTGTTTTTTTCTCAGTTTTGGAGATTAATTTAACACTCTTGGATTTGGTGTAGGTTCTGAATTCTTACCTCATTTTGAGCAAAACCGTAAGCTTACTTTGTCTTAGTTTAAGTATTTGTGTAAAAAGGTACTAGAAAAGCTATTGTTTTTAACTGGATTTTGAATCAAATGCAGCTTACATGAAAAGTCATATGTTGGTTTCATCAGAGATTGATATAGGATCAAACAAATCCAACATCGAAAGACCACCCGGAAGCAAGAAGAGAACTAAGCGTATGGATTTTTGTATCTCTAGAGATTTTCAATGAATGCTAGTGTTGGTTTGTTTAAATCTAAAGCTAAATTGTTTTATATAATGCAGATTTACCTTGTGAAGTTCCACTTGCTGAATCTGTTGATCGCATACTTGATCCTCACGATTATTTGAATTTTACGCGGTTTTCGTTAGGCTTTGTAGTGACTGAGACATATGATAAGCCTAGGTTTGGAGGGCATCAAACACTCAAGGAAAGAGAGAGATCTTACTCTGCAATAAATCAGACAATTCACTGTGGTTTTGTTAAAGGAACTAATGGATTTCATCAAGGGACTGGATTTGATTTGAGTGAAATGGATAGGGCTTATATGAAGAACTGTGTAGTCTCTGTGTCTTCTTGCATTTTTGGAAGCTCTGATTTTCTTAGGAGACCAGCAACCAAAAAGGTTAAAACTTTATCCTTTAGTAGATATTAGCTTCTGCTTTAGATTACTATTTGTGCGCATTAAGACTATATGTGAGCCTCATCATTCATGTGGAGCTCTCATTTAGCTTTGTTTCTTTCTTCAGATCAGTGAATTCTCGAAGCGAAATGTTTGTTTTGTGATGTTCGTTGATGAGCAAACACTATCGAAACTTGCTAGTGAAGGGCATGTTCCTGACAAGCAAGGATTTGTTGGTTTGTGGAAAACTGTAGTAGTGAGCAATTTGCCTTATACTGATATGCGAAAGACTGGAAAGGTTCCGAAATTTCTGTCACACCGCCTTTTTCCTTCTTCTAGGTGAGGTTAGTTGGCTAGTACTCAAGCTCTGAGATTTGAATCAGTGACTCAAATGTCTTATACTTATCCTCATTTCTTGTTTCAGGTATTCGATTTGGCTAGATAGTAAGATGAGACTCACTACAGATCCTATGCTGATCATTGACTTCTTCTTATGGAGAACAAAATCAGAATTCGCTATCTCGAACCATTATGACCGGCATTGTGTTTGGGATGAAGTGTTACAGAACAAACGGCTGAACAAGTACAACCATTCGGCCATCGATGAACAGTTTATGTTCTACCGATCAGATGGTCTCAAGAAATTTGACCCTTCAGATCCTAATTCTCCTCTTCCAAGTTGTAAGTAATTCAAACATTAACTTCTCTCTCACCGTACGCATTTACTCATTTGTTATGTCTTGTTGTGGTAGATGTACCTGAAGGTTCTTTTATTGTAAGGGCTCATACACCAATGTCAAACCTCTTCACATGCCTTTGGTTCAATGAAGTTGATCGGTTTACCTCACGAGATCAGTTGAGTTTTGCGTACACATACCTTAAACTGCAGAGACTGAATCCAGATAGACCCTTACGCCTAAACATGTTCAAGGTAAAATAAAAATAAAAAAGCATATTAGAGATTGAATAATCGGTCTCATTTTATGAGTACATAAATCATAATCAACTTGGTTTTTCATTTCAGGACTGTGAACGTCGAGCATTAACTAAGCTCTTCCACCATCGCGTAGATTCATCGCCTCCTTCACCTCCTGCTTGATTGATTAAGTAAAGATAGTGTTCTACATTTTTTGTACTTTTCTCCGCATTCTACTTCTTCTAGTCTAACTTTGAAGGAGATGAAACATGGAAGAGGAACCTAATTGACATTGTGTATGAGCCAAGATAGAAATCTTAGTAAGTTTACAGCACAATTCACTGCGGATATACCAAAAGAGACATAACTGAACCAGTTGCTGCTTAAGGTTAGAGGAAACACAACTACTGTATTAGGGATTTTCTTTGAACTTCCCATGAACCAAACCAAAGGTTTATATATATTTGAGGTTACTGTTCCTCAAGTTCTGCTGTCTTATGTTTATAAATCACATTAGTTTCAAAATCGTTTATGGGTTCTGAATAAGTTTAACAAATAACAAGTTCACTTAAATCAAACTGGAAACAAAGAAGTACCAATTCTAAAAACCTCTAATTGAAAATTTAATTGATGAATTTTTCTCTAAATAAAAGTAGATTTCAGCGGGAAAAAAAAAAAACACTTTTTAATCAAGACTGAAGTTAAAGTTCAGTTTTGTTAAAGTTATAAATATAATTTATATAGAAAACAAATTGACATGAACGGGGATGTAGCTCAGATGGTAGAGCGCTCGCTTAGCATGCGAGAGGTACGGGGATCGATACCCCGCATCTCCATCATTTTTTGTATTTGTTTTACATGATGTGGCTTTAGTGTAGAAGCCCATTACTTTAATTAAAGAAGCACAATTAGTGCCCTTTTCTATCATATGTAGCTTTAGTGTTAAAGCCCATTCAGAGCCCATTTCGTTTGGTTTACAGAGAAGTCAAATCACGCTAATCAACAACAGTTAAGAAATCCGAACGTTGTAAGAAATTAAACGGTCATGAAAATAAGTAAATCACGTTCGAATTGTTTGCACTAGGAGTACAAACAATTTGATTACACGTTGGAATGAGATGAGACTTCAGACTTGTCGCACCGTTCGCTTTAAGGTTACTGTCTGTCTGTCTCTTATAATTACTACTCTTTTTACAGATTTTACGGTTGCTAAATTGATCTAACAATTTTTAAAAAAGATACTATTACCATTATAAAACTAAGTGAATCGTGTAATTCTGAAAAAGGATAGAGCGTTACATCATGTCTTTTGATCCTTAGGGATGATCATGTTTGATTTATTTTTTACTTTTATTATAAATTACAAATCACGGTTTCTAAATTGATGTGACAATAAAATATCTAACCCATCCATCCATCCAAAACACCAATCTTTTCAAAAGATTACATAAATTACAAAATCGTAAAAACAATTTTTTAAAAACGATACTATTGTCATATTAATTATATGAAACTAAGTAAATCGTGTAACAGTAAAAACAGACATAGCATGACATCCTTTCTTTTGATCCTTAGAGATGAACATGTTCGACTTATTTTTCATTATTACAAATCACTCGGTTTATAAATTGATTTGAAATGAAAATTCTCACCCATCCATCCAAAACACCAATTTTTTAAAAAGACTATAAAAATTAAAAAAGCGTAAAATATAATTTTAAAAACTGATAATATTGTCAAATTATATGAAACTAAGTGAATCGTGTAATAGTGAAAATAGACAGCACATGACATCATGTTTTTTGATCCTTAGAGATGAAAGATGAACATGTTCGACTTATTTTTCACTTTTATTACAAATCACTCAGGTTTCTCAATTGATAATTTCTCACTCATCCATCCAAAACAATAAACTTTTTAAAAGACTACATAAATTACAAAACCGTAAAAATATTTTAATAAACGATAATATTGTCAGATTAGTTACATGACACTAAATAAATCGTGTGATAGTGAAAATAGACAGAGATATCTTGTGTTTTTGATCCTTAGAGATGAGCATGTTCGATTTATTTTCACTGTTATTACAAATCACTTGGTTTATAAATTGATTTGACAATAAAAATTTTTTTAGATATCCATCCAAAACTCCAAACTTTTAAAAAGACTTTATAAATTACAAAACCTCAAAAATAATTTTTAAAAGCAATACTATTGTCAGATTAATTATAGGAAGCTAAGTTAATGTGTAATAGTGAAAATAGATAGAGCGTGATATCCCATCTTTAATCCTTAGTAATGAGCATTTTCGACTTATTTTTCATTGTTATTAGTTATTACAAATCACTCAGTTTTTTCCACTGTATTACAAATCACTCAGTTTCTCAATTGATTTGACAATAAAATTTCTTAGTCATCTACCTAAAATTCAATGCACAAAATGAACATGTTTGAGAGAGATTGTACATAGGCAAATCACAGATCTTCAAACATAATAAGCATGTTAGTGAAACCTAAGTGAAAACTTACATCAGAATCACCAAAATTCCCCATAGCAATCTCCTCTAAATTTTATCGTGAAACTCTCAATACACTAGATGAACATGTTTGAGAGATTGTACACAAGCAAATCACAAATCTTGTTCAGGAATTTAGCTAAAACGTTAATACCAGATCTTCAAAGATAAGCATGTAAGTGAAGGCTTCAATCAAAATCAAAGGAACTCCCCTAGTAATCTCCTATTTACTCAATACACTAAATGAACATACTTGAGATTGTACATAATCAAACTCAATCTCTATACGTTCAATCTCAAACAAATCACAGAACTCTTTCTTTTTTTATTTTGTCAAAGGAATCATATTTTTGCCGTATATATAAATTTGTGGGATCAATGGGTTTCTTAAAAACCCCCTTCCCAAGAAAAGATGACAGAAGAAGATCCAATAGCTTGTGGCCCACTTGGACGTTAAAATTAGCCCATTTTTGTTTTTCTTAATGGGCTTGGTCTCTTATTGCTAGGTTTCTCTACCTCTTGTTAATTGGTTTTTCTACGTCTTCGTTCGAGCCGCAATCATGAATTCATCTTCCTTAACGAGTAACGACTGATCTCATCATGGAGATATTGTCAAGATTGCCTTCAAAGTCAGTCGCTAGGTTTCGTTGCGTGTCGAAGCGATGGGCATCAATTTTTGGTAGTCCATCTTCCAAGGAGTTGTTCATGACCAAGTCCTCAGCTAAGCCGCGCCTCTTATTCGCCATCGCAGAAAACGGAACCTCAGAGAAAGAAGACTGTGTGTGGAGCTTCTTCTCATCGCCTCAGCTTGAGAATCCATATGAGAAATCGTCATCGACTCTTGTTGCAGCTGCTGAATTTCATGTGAAGTTCTCTCCAGAAAATTTGAGGATCAATTATTATAGTGAGTTAAAGTATTTTTCAATTGGCTACGCCTCTGGTTTGATCTATATCTATGGTAATCGATACCAGGCTAGACCTGTCATATGTAACCCCAACACAGGACGGTATGCAATCTTACCTAATCGTTATACTTACAGAAAGGCGTATAGCTTTTTCGGGTTTGACCCGATTGGCAAGCAATACAAGGCCTTGTCCATTATTTATCCAACTGGTCCTGGTCGTAATAAAATACTTACATTAGGAGATGGAGATTTTGAATGGAGAAAGATCAAATTTCCCTTAGGACGACCTGAAATTAAGAGTGATGGGATATGCATCAATGGGGTTTTGTATTTCTTAGCTGAGAGTTATCAAGGATCGTTTGAATATGTGATAGTTTGCTTTGACGTTCGGTATGAGACATTCACCTATATTGACGTAGAAAAGTTTTGTCGATTAATAAACTACAAGGGCAAATTAGCTATGATTTATTGGGAGGATGATGTCGACATTTATGCCATGTGTAATATTCCGAAGGATCTCGATGAGTATTTGGAGGAAAATCTCGACGTTGATGCCACTAATGAGTTGCGTGTGTGGGTTCTAGAGGATGTTGAGAAACAGAAATGGTCTAAATATGCCTACACTTGGACCGATGATACATTCTTCCGTCGTCACCTTTCCATCGCTGGAGCCACTGCTTCAGGTGAAATAGTGTTTTCCATGCGCAAGTATACATGTAAACAACCGTTTTATGTTTTCTACTTCAATCCCGAAAGGAACACTCTCCAACGTGTTGAAATCCAAGGTTTTGGCGAAGCGTTTAAGAAAACTTGTAGCGTTCGCACGTTTGTAAACCACATAGAGGATCTTGATGTTAACGATTTAAAACAACTCAAGTCAGTCCATCCTCCATTGAAGCCAGAATTTTATTGTCTACCAGAAGCAGATACAGAATCAGACTCAGACTCAGATTCTGAATCAGACGGACAAGGAGATGAAGAAGGATAGAGACGATCATTTTGTGCTCTTATCTCTGCGTTTTTTTTTTTTTTTTTTTTGTCAACCTTATCTATTTTACGGTGTCTCTCTCTTTAACTAGGTTTACACATCTAGTCTTCATTTTGTTTGGTCTCAAGAACATGGTTTTGTTGTTTCACTTAGTTCTCTGTCTTTAATCTGAGTATATTTGCTCTTTCAACATTGTTTCTTCTGGATGAGATTTGTCCTCTGTTTTTTGTCAACATCTTGTTGTGTTTGTCACTTTTGTGTGACGGGACTAATATATTTGATGATGGCACTTTGGACTCAAATACTTAATGGGATTTGTAAGAGATCTCACTGATTTTTCACTGTAATTAAAGAAAACATTCCTACATTTCTACCATTCCTGGTTTTTATTAGTCTCAGTCTTTATGTTCTTAAATTATGCAGTTTCTTGTTAGCTTAGTTTTGAAAGGTTGAAACTTTTGTTCTCTAAAACAATGGGTGTCTTAGATGTTGAATTTAGTACATAAGAATGAATTAGGAAACGAATTAAACTAAATAGTGTTTGTGTGAGCAAAAAATAATTCTCAGATCATTTTAACAATCTAACTAACTTTGTCAAAGTAGAATGTGAACATGTACGAGTTCGAATTACTGAAAACTTAATTCGTACCAGATAAAAAGAAAACATAACATTCGTAAAATAGTTTATGAAGGGTGAAAGTAAAATATTTAAGAAGAAAGATAAAGTCAAATACAAGACTTGTAAAAATTTCCCCAAAATAACATAAATTTATTAACGGAAAATTACTCTCTAGCTAACAAAACAATAAGATTAATTGTTTCTTCACGATGAGATTTGTCCTCTATTCTTTGTCGACATCTTGTTGTGTTTGTCGTTTGTGTGTGTGATGGGACTAATATATTTCATGATGACACTTTGGACTCAAATACTTAATGGGATTTGTAAAAATGTTCAGTGATTTTTCACTGTCATTGAAGAAAACATTCCTACAGTTGTACCATTTCCTGGTGTATATTAGCCTCAGTCTTCATGTTCTTAAATTATGCAAGTTCTTGTTAGCTTAGTTTTGAAAGGTTGAAACCTTTGGTTCTCTGTAACAATGGGTCTTGTCTTAGGTGTTGAATCTTGTTTTTTTTAATAATAGAGACATGAAACAGTAAAAACAAAACAACATGAAGAGTTGTGTCTCTTGTTTTGTTTATGATGACTCTTGACAAATAACTAACTTATACGAATCATGACTCTTAATACATTAAACCTTAACATAATTAGAAACTCAACTATCGATCAACACTCCCACTTAATTGAGTTTCTCTCTTACTCCAAGCTTCTTCTTTAGTTGTTCAAATCTTGTGACGCCAAGTGCTTTCGTAAGCAGTCTGCAACTTGAACTTCTCCTTCATAATACTTGAGTTGAATGAGACCTTTGTGTTCTGCCTCTCGAACAAAATGATACTTAGACATGTGCTTGGTTCTTCGATGTTGCACTGGATTCTTGCCAATTGCAATTGCAGACTTGTTATCACTTCCAGTGACATCCGCCTCAGCCAGAAACACTTCCAAACCCTTCTTTACCTCTGATCCGCGCCCATTAGTGACCCATCTCTCTTCAAACCCTTGGCATCGACCGTGGCTTCCAAATTTTTGACCGTATGGCTAGTTCAGGGATAAGTCCTAATGAATCCTCCGTCACTGCAGTGGCATGGCTAGCTGCTGCCAAGGGTGACGGTGATTATGCTTTCAAGCTTTTCAAAGACATTGTTGATTATGCTCTGTTTCTGTGAGAGTTTGGAGGCTGAAAAAGGGTTATGAAGTGGAAGATCACATGGATGCTTCAGGTATTATGTTGGAGGAGGCAGAGATCTCTGCTTTGCTGCCACGGGCCGAGAAAACAAGGTTTATAGATATTTGCATAAAAATTAAGAGAATGTGTTGGCTGCGTTAGTGAAGAAACTTCAAAAACAATCGAGGAATGGTTCTGTGGAGTGAAAGCTAGCGAAGTTAGTGATAATGGGATTGGTTCTGATATTGAGCTGATCATTAGAGCAGCTGTTTTTCTCTTCCATCACACTGATTCATTCTTTTTGATCAAAGGCTCAAACTCCAAACCAAGAAAGAAGATCTCTTATTGCTAGTGGCCCACTTGAAGGTTAAAATTAGCCCATTTTTGTTTTACTTAACCGACTACAATCCGGAAATAAATACACGAAATATATAATGGTAGCTAGGTCTCGTATTGCTAGGTTTCTCTACGTCTTTTGTTAATTGGTTTTTCTAGGGCTTACTTGATACATAAGTTTTGACACATCTCTCTTTCTTCGTTCGATCCGCAATCATGTATTCATCTTTCAGTTCAAAAAAAAGAATCATGAATTCATCTTTCAATTCCAAAAAAAGAATCAGGCATTCATACTTCAACGAGTTGTTCCAGACCAGGTCCTCCGCTAAGCCGCGTCTCTTATTCGCCATCGCAGAAGAAGATGACTGTGTGTGGAGCTTCTTCTCAACGCCTCAGCTTGAGAATACATATGAGAAATCGTCGTCGACTCTTGTAGCAGCCGCTGAGTTTCATATGAAGTTATCTCCAGACAAGTTAATAGGGATTTATCATTCTTACGACCCAAGATATTTTTCAATTGGCTACGCCTCTGGCTTGATCTATATGTATGGTGATCGATACATGGCTAGACCTCTGATATGTAACCCCAACACAGGACGATATGTGATCTTACCTAATCGGTATACTTACAGAAAGGCGTATAGCTTTTTCGGGTTTGACCCAATTGACAAGCAATACAAGGTATTGTCCATGCGTTATCCATCTGGTCCTGGTCATAATAAAATACTTACATTAGGAGATGGAGATCTGACATGGAGAAAGATAAAATGTCCCTTACCACAACCTGGTATTAAGAGTGATGGGATATGCATCAATGGGGTTTTGTATTTCTTAGCTGTGAGAGTTGAATGCTCGTTTGAATATGTGATAGTTTGCTTTGATGTTAGGTCTGAGAAATTCACATATATTGACGTAGAGAGGATTTGTCAATTGATCAACTACAATGGCAAATTAGCTGTGATTTATTGGGAGGATGATGTCGACATTTATGAGATTTGTTATTATGGGAAGAATCTCGATGATTATTTGGAGAAAAATCTCAACGTTGATGCCACTAATGAGTTGCGTGTGTGGGTTCTAGAGGATGTTGAGAAACATGAATGGTCGAAATATGCCTACACTTGGACCGATGATACATTCTTCCGTCGTCATGTTTCCATCGCTGGAGCGACTGCTTCGGGTGAAATAGTATTTTCGATGCGCAAGTATTCATCTAAACAACCGTTTTATGTTTTCTACTTCAATCCCGAAAGGAACACTCTCCAACGTGTTGAAATCCAAGGTTTTGGTGAAGCGTTTAAGAAAACTTGTAGCGTTCGCACCTTTGTAAACCACGTAGAGGATCTTGATGTTAACGATTTAAAACAACTCAAGTCAGTCCATCCTCCATTGGTGAAGCCAGAATTTTATTGTCTACCAGAATCAGAATCAGATACAGATTCTGAAGCAGAATCAGACTCAGATTCTGAATCAGACGGACAAGGAGATGAAGAAGGATAGAGACGATCATTTTGTGCTCTTATCTCTGCGTTTTTTTTTTTTGTCAACCTTATCTATTTTACGGTGTCTCTCTCTTTAACTAGGTTTACACATCTATTCTTCATTTTGTTTGGTCTCAAGAACATGGTTTTGTTGTTTCTCTTAGTTCTCTGTCTTTAATTGGAGTATATTTGCTCTAATTTTCAACATTGTTTCTTTTGCATGAGATTTGTCCTCTGTTCTTTCTTCTTTGTCAACATCTTGTTGTCTTTGTTATTTGTGCGTGATGGGACTAATTTATTTCCTGATGACACTTTAATAGTTAAATGGGATTTGTGAAAATGTTCACTGATTTTTCACATTCACATGTTCAGCCTCAGAGTCTTCCACGCTTCCATGTTCTTAAATTATGCAATTTCTTGTTAGCTTGGTTTTGTAAGGTTGTAACTTTTGGTTCTTTGTAACAATGGACAATGGGTCTTGCCTTAGATCTTGAATCTTGTATTTTTTTTTTTGTAAGCAAAGTAATTTAGTACATGAGAATGAACTGGGAAAGGGATTAAACTGATTAGTGTGGTTTGAGCAAAAAATAATTCTCAGAATCATTCCTAATTTATACAGAAGAAAAAGATGATATGGCCTTAAAAAGTGTAGCAAGTACTTGAAGATTATTTTAACAATCTAACAACATTGTGACACGATTTGAAAATCTGGAATGTTTTTAAACCATCAAAAGATCAAAATCACCAACAAGCACACAACTGATCTTCAACCACAATCATATATATGTATATATATAAACGTAACAAAGCATGCAAAGATAATTGAAACACCAAGATATCCCCATAGCAATCTCTGTAACGTTTATTTGGAACTTGTTTGAGAGATTGTACACAAGCAAATCACAAATCTTGTTCATTCATGGCTTAGCTAAAACGTAATTTCAAAGATCCTCAAAATAAACTTGGTCAGTAAAAGCTTCACTCAAATCACCAAAACTCATCCTCAGAGCAATTTCTGTATATGTTCAATCTCAAACAAATCACACAACTCTTTTTTTTATTATTATTATTTTGCCATCTTTTTGATAGATGACCGAAGAAATTCAAAAATCGGAAAATAACACATTTACCTTTTTATTATTTACACACATTGACCGAAGAAGTCCAAACTTTTTATTTTGTTTTACTTAACAGACTAAAATCGTGAAATAAATACACGAAATGGTAGCTAGGTCTCTCTTACTGCTAGGTTTTTCTAGGGCTTACTTAAATACTATATAAGTAATTTAACAGATCTCTCTTTCCTCGTTCGATCCGCAATCATGAATTCATCTTTCATAAAGACTAATCTCATCAAGGAGATATTGTCTTCAAACTCAGTCGCGAGGTTTCGTTGTGTGTCGAAGCGATGGGCGTCATCAATGACCAGGTCCTCCGCTAAGCCGCGCCTCTTATTCGCCATCGCAGAAAACGGCGACGATAGCGCAGAAACTTGTGGTGTGTGGAGCTTCTTCTCATCGCCTCAGTTTGAGAATCCATATGAGAAATCGTCGTCGACTCTTGTAGCAGCTGCTGAATTTCATGTGAAGTTCTCTCCAGAAAATTTGAGGATCAATTATTATGGTGACATAAAATATTTTTCAATTGGCTACGCTTCTGGCTTGATCTATATCTATGGTTGTCGATACCAAGCTAGACCTCTGATATGTAACCCCAACACAGGACGGTATGCAATCTTACCTAATCGTTATACTTATAGAAAAGCGTATAGCTTTTTCGGGTTTGACCCCATTGACAAGCAATACAAGGCCTTGTCCATCCGTTATCCATCTGGTCCAGGACGTAACAAAATTCTTACATTTGGAGATGGAGATCTCACGTGGAGAAAGATCAAATTTCCCTTAGGACGACCTGAAATTAAGAGTGATGGGATTTGCATCAATGGGGTTTTGTATTTCTTAGGTGAGATAGGTGAAGGATCTTGTGATTATGTGATAGTTTGCTTTGATGTTAGGTCTGAGAAATTCACGTGTATTTATGTAGGAAGGTTTTGTCGATTGATAAACTACAAGGGCAAATTAGCTGTGATTTATTGGGAGGATGATGTCGACATCTATGAGATCTGTGTTTATGGGAAGGATCTCGATGAGTATTTGGAGGAAAATCTCGACGTTGATGCCACTAACGAGTTGCATTTGTGGGTTCTAGAGGATGTTGAGAAAAAGAAATGGTCTAAATATGCCTACACTTCTAAATACACTTGGTCTAAATATGCCTACACTTGGACCGATGATACATTCTTCCGTCGTCACCTTTCCATCGCTGGAGCCACTGCTTCAGTTGAAATAGTGTTTTCCATGCGTAAGTATACATCTAAACAACCGTTTTATGTTTTTTACTTCAATCCCGAAAGGAACACTCTCCAACGTGTTGAAATCCAAGGTTTTGGTGAAGCGTTTAAGGAAACTTGTAGCGTTCGCACCTTTGTAAACCACGTAGAGGATCTTGATGTTAACGATTTAAAACAACTCAAGTCAGTCCATCCTCCATTGGTGGAGCCAGAATATTATGATCGATTCGAATCAGAATCAGAATCAGAATTAGACTAAGAAGGGTCAAGGAGATGAAGGTGAAAGCAATGGGCATGTCCTTTTGTGCTCTTTATCTATGCGGTTTTTTTTTTTCTCTCGGTTTTTCTCTCTCTTTTAACTAGCTTTATACATCTATTCAACAGTTCTGTGTTTAATCCGAGAATATTTGCTTTAATTTTCAACATTGTTTCTGCTGGATGAGATTTTTTGTCCTCTATTCTTTGTCAACATCTTGTTGTGTTTGTCATTTGAGTAATTTATTTCATGATGACACTTTGGACACAAATACTTAATGGGATTTGTAAAAATGTTCACTGTAATTGAAGAAAACGTTCTTACAGTTGTACTATTCCTAGTTTATATTAGCCTCAGAGTCTTCCATGTTCTTAGATGATGCAATTTCTTGTTAGATTAGTTTTGAAAGGTTGAATCTTTTGGTTCTCTGTAACAATGAGTCTTGTCTTAGATGTTGAATCTTGTATTTTAGTACATGAGAATGAACTGGGAAAGGAATTTCAACAAAATTAACGAATTAAACTGATTCTTCTGGATGAATTTGTCCTCTGAAAGAAATAGTCTTGCACTTAAAAGGCATTGGCAGCTAACTCCCCCACATAGGTGCATCATTATGTTTTTTTATCCACAAAACATAAAACCCTTTATTAGCAGTTTCCAGGTTGTGAAGACCATCTATAAATTGCGTATCCGACTTACAAGAAAAACAAGATCAAACGCCTCAAGACTCTTCTCAATGTTATAACAGAGAAGAAGCAAAATAGAAGAAGAGAAAAACTCACAGAAATCCAATAGATATTCGAGTCTCATAATTCAATCCATCAGACATCCGTAAATCGCCCAAATGATCTCCCATAAGCAAAACATTCGTTCGCTGTATCATGTTTGCATTTTCTTCATCTTCCTCACCAAGCAAATATACCTTTGAGCTGTCCATCATCATTGAACATCATTCTGTTAGATACAATCCTAACATTCTTGAAAGTTCTATGAACGTTCTGCCTCAAAACCTGGTAAGAAAGTGAGTATATAACAAAAGCATATTCATTATAGAGGCAGCACAAGTCATTATAGAGGCAGCACAAATAGGAGAGTAACTCTAATTAACTAATACTCTTAAGATTCACCTCTTCAATGACAAATAAGGTCAATTAAGATACTAATAGTTGTTTCTCTCACCTTTGAAGTATTGCAAACATGATTTCAGTTGATGAAAACTGGGAAAGGAATTTTTAACATTGTTTCTTCTGGATGGTTTCTATACAAAGATATCCTCATAGCAATCTCTGTAACGTTTATTGTGAAACTCAATGCACTAAATGAACATGTTTCAGAGATTGTACACAAGCAAATCACAATCTTGTTCATGGCTGTGCTAAAACGTAAACTCACAGATTCTCAAAATCATGGTCGCCGAGTCGAAAATCCTGAATGTTCGAACCATCAAAAGATGAAAATCACCAACAAGCACACCGATCTTCAAACATAAACATAACAAGCACTTGAAGGCAATTGAAACACCAACAAATTCCCGTAGTAGCAATCTCTCTAACGTATAATCTGCAACTCAATGCACTAAATGAACATGCTTGAGAGATTGTACATAAGAAAATCACAATCTTATTCAGGGCTTAGCTAAAACGTAAATTAACAGATCTTTCACTTACATCAAGATCACCAGAATTCCCCATAACAATCTCACCCAATACACAAAATGAACATGCTTGAGAAAAATCACAAATCTTGTTCATGCATGTATTTAGCTAGAACGTTTATCATGTAAGTGAAAGCTTTAATCTCTCTAAACTCAACACACTAAATGAACACACTACAATCTACCTTAAAAACAGATCCTCAAAATAAACTTGTTCAGTAAAAAGCTTCAATCAAATCACCAAAAATCATCCTCAGAGCAATCTCTATATATATACGTTCAATCTCAAACAAATCATGGAACCATTTCATCAAGAATTAGCTAAACCACAAACCTAGAGAAGTGAAATTACCACAAAAACTGATCCAACAAAACCATAATCAAGAAGCCTAGATCATGAATCACCCAATTTAGCTTCTTCCAATTTCTCAATCCAATAGCTAGTGGCCCACTTGGACGTTAAAGTTAGCCCATTTTATGTTTTTCTTAACGGACTAAAATCGGGAAAGAAATACACGACCGTAGCTAGGTCTCGTTATTAGTATACATATAGCTTTAACAGATCTCTCTTTCTTCGTTCGATACGCAATCATGAATTCATCATCTTCCTTAACGAATGATCTCATCATGGAGATATTGTCGAGATTACCTTCAAAGTCAGTGGCTAGGTTTCGTTGCGTGTCGAAGCGATGGGCATCAATGTTTGCTAGTCCCTACTTCAAGGAGTTGTTCGTGACCAGGTCCTCCGCTAAGCCGCGTCTCTTATTCGCCATGGCAGGCAACGTAACCGAAGAAGATGACTATGTGTGGAGCTTCTTCTCAACGCCTCAGCTTGAGAATCCATATGAGAAATCGTCACCAACTCTTGTAGCAGCCGCTGAATTTCATGTGAAGTTCTCTCCAGAAAAGTTACAGATATATCATTCTTATGACCCAAGATATTTTTCAATTGGCTACGCTTCTGGCTTGATCTATATCTATGGTTGTCGATACCAGGGAAGACCTGTGATATGTAACCCCAACACAGGACGGTATGCGATCTTACCTGATCGTTATACTTACAGAAAGGCGTATAGCTTTTTCGGGTTTGACCCCATTGACAAGCACTACAAGGTATTGTCCATGCGTTATTCATGTGGCCCTGGTCATAATAAAATTCTTACATTAGGAGATGGAGATCTCACGTGGAGAAAGATAAAGATCTCACCAGAACGACCTGAAATTGAGAGTGATGGGATATGCATCAATGGGGTTTTGTATTTCTTAGCTGTGGGAGTTGAACTGAAGTTTGAATATGTGATAGTTTGCTTTGATGTTCGGTCTGAGACATTCACCTATATTGGCGTAGAAAGGTTTTGTCGATTGATCAACTACAAGGGCAAATTAGCTGTGATTTATTGGGAGGATGATGAAGACATCTATGAGATTTGTTTTTATGGGAAGGATCTCGATGATTATTGGGAGGAAAATCTCGATGCCATTAATGAGTTGCGTGTGTGGGTTCTAGAGGATCTTGAGAAACAGAAATGGTCTAAATATGCCTACACTTGGACCGATGATAAGTTCTTCCGTCGTCACCTTTCCATCGCTGGAGCCACTGCTTCGGGTGAAATAGTGTTTTCCATGCGCAAGTATACATCTAAACAACCGTTTTATGTTTTTTACTTCAATCCCGAACGGAACACTCTCCAACGTGTTGAAATCCAAGGTTTTGGCGAAGCGTTTAAGAAAACTTGTACTGTTTGCACCTTTGTAAACCACGTAGAGGATCTTGATGTTAACGATTTAAAGCAACTCAAGTCAGTCCATCCTCCGTTAGTGAAGTCAGAATATTATGAATCATCAGATTCAGAATCAGACTGAGAAGGGACAAGGAGATGAAGGTTAGAGACGATCATTGGAGCTAGTTAGGTGAAACAATGGGCATATCTATGCGTTTTTTTTCTTTTTTGTCAACCTTATCTATTTTACTATATTTCTCTCTTTAACTAGCTTTATACATCTCTGTTAGTTCTATCTTCTATGTCTTTAATCTGAGTATATTTGCTTTAATTTTCAAAATCGTTTCTTCTGGATGAGATTTGTCCTCTGTTCTTTCTTTGTCAACATCTAAGAAAAACCCATTGTTTCAACTTCTCAAAACTAAGCTAACAAAATTGCATAATGTAATAACATGAAGACTGATGCTAATATAAACCCGGAATGGTAGAACTGTAGGAACAGAGGACATGTTCTTAATTTTTACAGATTTGGTTATCTGTAACAATGGGTCTTGTCTTAGATGTTGAATCTTGTATTTTTTATAAACAAAACAATTTAGTACATGTGAATGAATTAGGAAAGGAATTAAACTGATTAGTGTTGTATACTCATTAATGGTGAAGAAGGCTAAAGAGGCATATGACACACTATGTCAAAAGCAGCAAGCTAATTCAATGAATCCAAGTAGCAGCTCAATGATAGAAGAACATGAGGCGTATAAAAGATGGGAATTTGTAGCGGGGCTGGAGGAGAAATATCTCAAGCAAATATCTAAGTTGCATTGGTTAAATGTGGGTGATATGAACAACAAAATGTTTCATAGAGCAGCTGTTATGAGGGAAGCAAAAAACAGTATCAAGGAAGTGGTATGTCAAGATGGCCGGGTTCTAGTAAAAGAAGATGACATAAAGTCCGAGGCTGAGAGATATTTTCAAGCCTTTTTGCAACATATCCCTAATGACTTGGATCATCAAACTCTCACTCGTGTTGTCTCAGGAGAAGAAATTAAAAAAGTTTTGTTTGCCATGCCAAACGATAAGTCTCCGGGCCCTGATGGCTATACTTCTGAATTTTACAAAGCATCTTGGGAGATTATAGGCACGGAATTTATATTGGCAGTACAATCTTTTTTTGCAAAGGGTTTCTTACCAAAGAGTCTTAATGCTACCATTCTAGCACTAATCCCTAAAAAGAAAGGTGCTAAGGAGATGAAGGACTTTCGGCCAATCTCTTGCTGTAATGTACTCTACAAAGTGATCTCAAAAATCATTGCAAACCGGCTAAAAGGTATTCTCCCAAGGTTTATTGCTGGGAATCAATCGGCTTTTGTTAAAGACCGTCTCTTGATCGAAAATGTGCTTCTCGCCACTGAACTTGTCAAAGACTATCATAAAAATTCTGTCTCTGCTCGTTGTGCCATAAAGATTGATATATCAAAAGCCTTTGACTCCGTTCAATGGTCATTCCTGGGTAAAGTTCTCTCGGCTTTAAACTTCCCGCCAACATTCATTCACTGGATTATGTTATGTGTTTCCACGGCCTCTTTCTCGGTTCAGGTCAATGGGGAATTAGCGGGATATTTCCGAAGCTCTCGTGGCTTAAGACACGGCTGCTCACTCTCACCATATCTATTTGTTATAAGTATGGACGTGCTCTCGAAAATGCTCGATAAAGCTGCGGTAAATAGAAAATTCGGATACCATCCAAGGTGCAAGAAGTTGGGTCTCACTCATTTGCGGATGATCTTATGGTATTATCGGATGGACAAGTACGCTCTGTTGAAGGTATCGTCGCAGTTTTTGATGCTTTTGCTAAATGCTCAGGTTTAAAAATAAGCATGGAGAAATCCACTCTTTATTTGGCTGGAAATACGGTTGCATCTACTCATCAGCTAGCCTCGCTTTTTCCATTTGAAGTAGGCCACTTACCGGTCCGTTACCTTGGGCTACCATTGGTAACAAAGAGACTCTCAGCGGTGGACTAGAGGCCATTGATCGAGCAGCTCCGAAAGAGAATTGAGTCGTGGACTTCACGGTTTCTCTCTTTTGCAGGTCGGCTAAATTTGATTTCCTCCATCTTATGGAGCATCTGCAATTTTTGGTTGGCAGCCTACCGCCTACCTAGCGCTTGTATCCGGGAAATAGAAAAACTCTGCTCCGCTTTCCTTTGGTCGGGTACTGATCTAAACTCACATAAGGCTAAGATCTCATGGGATAATGTATGCAAGCCGAAGCAAGAGGGTGGTCTTGGGCTGCGGTCGTTAAAGGAGGCCAACACAGTTTGCTGTTTGAAACTTATATGGCGAATAGTCTCGCACAGCAACTCTCTATGGGTTAAATGGATTCAGTCCTCTATTCTTAAGCAGGCTTCTCTCTGGTCTCTCAATAACGATACCACAAAGGGTTCTTGGATATGGAAAAAGCTCCTCAAGTACAGGGAAATGGCGAAGCCTTTCTGTAAAGTGGAAGTCGGGAATGGGTTAAAAACCTCTTTTTGGTATGACAACTGGTCATCAATGGGCACTCTGGTGGACAGTGTTGGCTCTCGGGGATTTATAGACATGGGGATAAGTAAGACGAGCTCTTTAGCTGCTGCTTGGGTTAATCGTCGACGGAGAAGACACCGAAATAACCACTTGAATGCCATAGAAGAAGAACTGCACCTGCAGCGACAAAAACAAACTGAGAGTGAGGACAAGTTTCTTTGGCGTGGGAAACATGACATATTCAGACCAAGTTTCTCCACGAGAGATACGTGGAACCACATTCGAACCACATCCACCACAGTCTCGTGGCACAGCGGAGTCTGGTTTGCACACGCAACACCAAAATATTCATTTTGTGTGTGGTTGGCAGCCCATAAGAGACTCCACATGGGGGAACGTATTATTAAGTGGGATCATGGAGCCTCGGGAACATGTGTGCTTTGTCAAAATCAATTGGAGACCATAGATCACCTCTTCTTCTCATGTCAATACAGCTCCACGATCTGGAAAGCGCTTGCGACAGGGCTTCTTAAATCTCGGTACACAACCGACTGGACACTCATCCTCGAATATATTTCAAACCAACAACTAGCTCGAGTGGAAGGATTCCTCATCAGATATGTTTTTCAAGTCGTTGTATACACGTAATGGAAGGAACGAAATGGGAGACGACATGGGGAGAATTCACAACCAGCTGATACTCTAATTGTCTGGATTGATAAGCAAGTCAGAAACCGGATTTCGGCAATCCGCATACAGGGAGATAGCCGATATGAAACAGCCTACCAAGCATGGATAAGAGCTCGTGTTTAAGATCTTCCTCTACCAAGTTATTCTAAACTTCTTTTTTCAACTATTCTTTTTCAAATACCCGTTGCACAAGTTGTAAAAACGATCTTATTTTTCTTTTGAATATAATTTAACATTAGATTCAAAAAAAAAAGATTAGTGTTGTATACACCTAAACATATCTCAAACAAATTATGGAACCATTTCATCAAGCCTAGATCCAATTTAGCTTCTTCCAATTTCTCAATCCAATAGCTAGTGGCCCACTTGGACGTTAAAATTAGCCCATTTTTGTTTTTCTTAACCGACAAAAATCGGAAAATAAATACATGATCGTAGCTAGGTCTCTCTTTCTTGGTTCGAGCCGCAATTATGAATTCATCATCTTCCATAACGACTGATCTCATCATGGAGATATTGTCGAGATTGCCTTCAAAGTCAGTGGCTAGGTTTCGTTGCGTGTCGAAGCGATGGGCGTCAATGTTTGCTAGTCCATACTTCAACGAGTTGTTCCAGACCAGGTCCTCCGCTAAGCCGCGTCTCTTATTCGCCATCGCAGAAAACGGCGACTATAGGGGAGAATCCAATGGTGTGTGGAGCTTCTTCTCAACGCCTCAGCTTGAGAATCCATATGAGAAATCGTTGTCGACTCTTGTAGCAGCCGCTGAGTTTCATGTGAAGTTCTCTCCAGACGGTCTACTGATCAATTATTATGGTGACATAAAATATTTTTCAATTGGCTACGCTTCTGGCTTGATCTATATCTATGGTTGTCGATACCAAGCTAGACCTCTGATATGTAACCCCAACACAGGACGGTATGCAATCTTACCTAATCGTTATACTTATAGAAAAGCGTATAGCTTTTTCGGGTTTGACCCCATTGACAAGCAATACAAGGCCTTGTCCATCCGTTATCCCTCTGGCCCTGGTCGTGATAAAATCCTTACATTTGGAGATAATGGAGATCTCACGTGGAGAAAGATAAAGTTTCCCTCACCAGAACGACCTGGTATTAAGAGTCATGGGATGTGCATCAATGGGGTTTTGTATTTCTTAGCTGAGAGAGCTGAAATATCGTTTGATTATGTGATAGTTTGCTTTGATGTTCGGTCTGAGACATTCACCTTTATTGACGTAGAAAGGTTTTGTCGATTGATCAACTACAAGGGCAAATTAGCTGTGATTTATTGGGAGGATGATGTCGACATTTATGAGATTTGTTATTATGGTAAAGATCTCGATGAGTATTTGGAGGAAAATCTCGACGCTGATGCCACTAACGAGTTGCGTGTGTGGGTTCTAGAGGATGTTGAGAAACAGAAATGGTCTAAATATGCCTACACTTGGACCGATGATACATTCTTCCGTCGTCACCTTTCTATCGCTGGAGCCACTGCTTCGGGTGAAATAGTGTTTTCCATGCGCAAGTATACACCTAAACAACCGTTTTATGTTTTCTACTTCAATCCCGAAAAGAACACTCTCCAACGTGTTGAAATCCAAGGTTTTGGTGAAGCGTTTAAGAAAACTTGTAGCGTTTGCACCTTTGTAAACCACGTAGAGGATCTTGATGTTAACGATTTAAAGCAACTCAAGTCAGTCCATCCTCCTTTGGTGCAGCCAGAATATTATGAATCATCAGATTCAGAATAAAACTTGTAGTGTTGTCATTTTGTGCTCTTATCTATTTTACTGTTTTTCTCTCTTTAACTAGCTTTATACATCTATTATTCAAGAACATGGTTTTGTTGTTTCTGTTAGTTCTACGTCTTTAATCCGAGTATATGTGCTTTAATTTTCAAAATCGTTGCTTCTGGATGAGATTTGTCCTCTGTTCTTTGTCAACATCTAATACAAGACCCATTGTTTCAACTTTTCAAAACTAAGCTAACAATAAATTGCATAGTTTAAGAACATGAAGACAGATGCTAATATTTTGAACAAAAAAAAAAAAGAAGACTGATGCTAATATAAACCCGGGATGGTAGAACTGTAGAGGACATGTTCTTAAATTTTACAGATTTGGTTATCTGTAACAATATGGGTCTTGTCTTAGATGGTGAATCTTGTATTTATATAGGAAAAAAAAAGAATCGATATGGCCTTAAAAAGTGTAAGTACTTGATGATCATTTTAACAATCTAACAATCACTGTGACACGATTTGAAATGATTTTCACTACTTTAGGTCTTCTACCGGCGCTTCGAAGTAGTGAGGCTGCCAGTTTCTTCTTTGAAGGGCTGAGTCGACACATCCGATAAAGCCGGGAGCCTAGAAACACTTCCTTTCCCTTTCCTCGCATTTGGACCAATCACTTCGATCATGTATCTCCACCCATCAATCGGTCTTCTCCTACTGAATATGTGTTGCTTTATAAAACTCGCTATCTGCGCATCGATCAAATTTCAAAAACATGCCGAAGAAATCTAGAAAGTCCCACGTTTGGAATGGTTCTATTGCAAGATATCAAACTTATATGAAAACAGATTTTTGATGTATAGACAATGGGATCATTTGTATGAAGATTTGGGTGGTACCTGAAATTTGCAGAAGGCAGTCCGACGATCAAATTCTTGGAGAAGAATGTCTTCTTCTCTTTGTGACATCTCCCAGAGATTTCCATCTTGTTCCTTTGCTGTTGATTCCCAACCATCAGGCTTGTTCTTCAGTTCAGATCCACTCGAAACCTCCAATTTGTCAAAATCATGGTCTACAGAGTCGAAAATCCTGAATGTTTTCAACCATCAAAAGATCAAAACCACCAACAAGCACACCGATCTTCAAACATGAACATAACAAAGAACTTGAAGACAATTGAAACCCCAAGCAAATCCAATAGCAATCTCTCTAACATATATCATGCAACTCAATGCACTAAATGAACATGCTTGAGAGATTGCACAGAAGAAAATCAGAATCTTATTCAGGGCTTAGCTAAAACGTAAATCACAGATCTTTCAATTATATCAAAACCACCAGAATTCCCCATAGCAATCTCTCAAGCATGTTCATTTTTGTGAAACTCAATACACTAAAATGAACATGCTTGAGAGATTGTACACAAGAAAATCACAAATCTTGTTCATGTAGTTAGCTAAAACGTTAATCATAGATCTTCAAACATAAGCATGTAAGTGAAAGCTTCAATCAAAATCACCAAAAATCATCCTCAGAGCAATCTCTATATATGTTCAATCTCAAACAAGTCATTACACCATTTCAAAGATTAGCTAAACCACAAACCTAGTGAAGTAAAGTATAACACAAGACTGATCCAACAAAAACCCTAAATCGAAATTGAAATTAGGGCAAAAAACAGAATCCTTACTCTGAACAACTATCAAGAAGCCTATCAATATCATCAGCTCCACCACCAGATCCAGAATCACCTAATTTAGCTTCTTCCAATTTCTCAATCTCTTTAACCCACAAAGAAGCATGAACTCTTTGTTTCTTCAATCTATAATCTTTCTTCATCGTCTCCAAACTATAAAGCGATGATGATGATTCTTCTCCATCTCCAATCTCTTTCTTATTCTTCTCTTCTCTCTTCTCCACTTTCCCACTCTTCCCTCTCCTCTCGTTCCAATGCTCATTCATATCTTCTACGAACGCTTTTGCTTCCACATCGATTTCTTCAGTCGTGGCCGTTGATTCTTTTACAGAGAAGTTAACATCTGTCTCCCATGGAGCTCGTATTTTATCTGTGAGATCATCTGGTAACCAAGCTGATTCCCAAGCGTCGTTCCATTTGTCTTCATCGTTTCCAGATTTTGTGGACATCAAATTGACGAGAATCGATGGGAGATTTAAACGGGTATGCGAAATTCTTGAAGAAATTGGATTCGGGGTTGTTCTGGTGATCAATCCTATTACACGATGAAGTGAATTCATCTTCTCAGTGAGAGTGGTGTACGAAAATGTAAGCTTTTTTCTACAGAGCGATAATGGTGTTTTGCTGAGTAAAATCAGAAACTTAAACCCTGCGAGATTTTAACAAGAAATGGGCCTTAACATTATTAGGCCCAAATTTTTAGTTGGGCTTTTCTTTAACAACACATGTTTTTTCTGAATTTTCGAATTGAGAGTGATATGTTGAAGAAAGAGGAGTATTATTCTGCAAAATTTTGATATTCCTATAAAGATCTTATATTTGAATGTCTTTTTTTTTTTTTTTTAACTTCTCTCCTTATATTTGAATGTCTATTTATATTTTTTAGTATTTATATTTGTCTATGGGATTTTACATAAAGTTTGAACATAACTTATGTTAGTGATGTCGTTGTGTCCTAATTTCGATTCATCTTGAGCCTTGTTTGAAAAATCGCTAGGCGCTAGTCGGGCGGTCGGCATGGGCCTAGCGATTAATCGGAAAATCGGATTAAAATCGGGGATTAATCGGGGATTAGTTTTAGGGTTATTTTAATATTTTTAAAATATATTAATCCAATATTGTAAAAATTTATGATTTTTATTACAAATTTATGATTTTTATTAAAATTTGAACACAAGTTATTGTAAAACATCACAAACTCCCCATTCAAATGATTGAATAACAAAAATAAAAGGTTTTTTTATACTTGCAATCTAAAAAATAATCGGGGTATATAAGATAAGGTGGAAAATAATCGGATTAGGCGGGAAGTAATCGGATTAGGCGGAGAATAATCGGGTTACTGATTTTTTAGGGGATTAGTCATTAATCGAGGCGGATAGGGTGGGCCTAGCGATTAAGCGGGGAGTAATCGGGGCTAGGCGGGGATTTTTAGAACAGGGATCTTGAGTAATGTGCATGTGTGAGTTGTAGACGATAAAAAAAAATTCTAGTTATTTTGTTTAAATACATTATGTAATCGTGTATATTGGCAGAGAGCAAATGAAACACTCATAAGCAAACAACGTAAAAAGAGCATTATAAATTTATAGTTAATTACTTGACCCAAAAAAAAAAAATTATAGTCACAATTTGAACAACTCTATTAGAAAAATCATTTTGGTTCACAGTCTTCGAATTGCTTCGATTGATAAATACTAGCTTGGGTTGGAATTTGTTTTCGACACTAAAATTACGAAAATCTAAAGAGCCTAAAAGCTAAAGGAACAAAACGAAGGAGTCCAAAAACATTCATAACAAAAATTGAATAACTTGCAAGCAACAGATTGAGATATCTTAAAGGACACATCTATAAAGACATAACATTTGCCCCTCCTTACCCCAACAAAAAAAAACAAAAGTGACACTTTTTTTTGTCGTCATAAAAATGACAAACACTTTAAACCAACGTTGTAAAGTGAATCGAACGATTCGACCTGTAAAATTAAAGCAAAACCAAAATAGAAAAACAATAAAACTCAAAAGCAAAACAACTATGAACAAAGACCAAAAAATGGGCTACAAACATAAAAATTTTAGAACAAAAGCAGATTATTAGAAAACAAATTTGATTAAAACACATACAACAATGTTAACCACATCTGGCAAACTCTAAAAAGCTTCAATTTTTAACTAACTTATTATAATAAACCTGTTTCAGTTTTTTTTTTTTTTTTCTTTCTTTTTTTTGTGGAATCTCCTTGGGACTTTGTCTGGTTTCTAACAATACAGAGATGATTGTATTCAAATTGAAAATTTTGTAAGGGAAACAAATATGGAAGAAGAAGCATAAAGGTTGGAGCTTGGGACCTTCAATGGTGTCTTTTGACGTGTGAGCGAAAACCCATCAACAAGAATCTGGAGGGTCTTCAAATGGATAGTAGTATTATGAATGTGTGTTCTTTTAGCAACCCATCACTGCGCAATTGTATACGAAATTAGGAGAATGTTTCCTGTCAAGCAATGTCCACTGAGGTGGACCACCGTCGCTCGGTATCCAAGAATTCAGCTCTATGAACCCACCTCCCGAGTACTTCGGTCCACCAATAACGATTAACCGCTCCCCACAAGCTCTAAAAGCAAGTCCCCATCCGTTAACCGAGCCAGCTCTTTCAGGCAATCTTCCAACAGTTAACCATTTCTTATTCTCCTTATCATACTTCCTCACTTCCATATCGGCGTGATCAGCAGCGTACAATTGGTTATTCACAACCGCAACAAGAGGCGGTGCTTCTTGTGCTGGTGACATATCAGCTTGATCAGCAAGGCTTCTTGGAGGCGACAAGTCAGGGATTTGAGTCCATTTCTTGGTCTCCAAATCATATTCTTCACCGCAGGTCAAGACTTTAGAATCAGCACCACCGATTCCTCCAATTACATAGAACTTCCCATCCATAAAAACACCCGAACACATCTTCCTCGGTTTGTTCATCCTTGGAAGAGTTATCCAAGTTTGAAGCTCAGAATTATACATTTCCGCAAAATCAAGAGTCTTTCTCTGGGAATCACATCCCCCAGCGAATATAGCAATCTCTCCAAGGCTCGCGGATCCAAACAAACACCTCGGAGAGTTCAACTTCATACCAGAAGACCAAGAATTAGTCAGTAGACTGTATCTGTATATTACATGAGAAGAAGCATCTTTTCCTAAGACAAGCAGATCCGTCCCAACGGCCAGAGACTCCTTATCGGCACACATGAAGGTACCACTGGAAGGCATAGTTGGTAACTGCATCCACCTTCTCTCGACAGGATCGAATGCAACCCATTCCAAGAGCTGGCAAGAGAAGTAAACCCAATGTTCAACAAACCCGCTTTGTCGCCTTAATCTATAAATCTCTCCACTCTTTACCAAAGAACGGAAATTCCGGTTCAAAGAAGCAATTGAACCATAATCAGACCTCGAGCAGCGGATCAAACAGTCAATCGAATTGTCCCTCCCAATCTCATTGATAAGAGAATGCGAATCCGTAGAATCACCACCATTGTCATTAGAATCAGATTGTTCTTGCTCCTGCCTCGACGATGAGCCATCACCAATCACAGCATCTGCTTGCTCCTCCCCACCACTCAATGAATAGTCAGATGAATCGCTATCATAAGTAATAGAAAAACCCATTAATTTAAGTGATTTGGTCTGTCTAATCTCACCAACAACCTCCAAAGGTCTTTTACCATTCCCGAGCTTATCATCATCCTCTGGATACATGTAAGACTTAGACCAGTTTGATTCAGAAAGACGAGAGCTTGAGAAAACCCTTGTAATCAAACACGAATCTGGTGATCGATCTTCCAACATTTCTTCCAAAGACTACAAATTTCTTGATGTTATCAAATCAGATCAATCCCAATCCCAAACCCAAATGGATTCAGATTCTAGATTTAACCAATCACAAAATCAACACCACCAAACACACGTAAAGTTTCAACCTTTTCAAGATCCAGATCTCCAGATTCCAACCCAATTTCACAAAAAGGGGAAAAAGAATCAAACCCGGAAACTCAAATCATCTTTCGATCCCGATCTGGTTCATGATTCCATCTGCTTGAAGAGAAATTAAAAATTGATACTTTAAGGATTGGTTGATAATTAACAGATTATTATTATTATAATACGAATTCAGAGATTGGAGAAGAGAGGACTTACGAGAGATTTAGGGATTAAGAAGAGAGAAATAATAATTAATAATAATAATTAAGAAAAGCTTAAGAGAGCTGTTTCTGTTCTTCGCGTTTCTTCTTCTTCTCTGTGTCGTCTCTTTTGATTCGCTCTGCGAATCAGAGTGAAGCTTTGGTTTCTCAGAGAGAGCTCAAAGTTAAAATCTTTGAGAGGAACAATTCTTTCTTTCTTTTTCTCTCTCTTGTTGTTTATTCCTCTTTTGTTAACTTTTTAATTTTAATGCAGTCAAATAAAAATTTAAAACGGAAAATAATCTGACTAACTAATATATTTATTACTGCCTTTTTTATCACCAATTATAAAATTGAAAATAAAAAAAAGTTAAAAATTGGGAGTACTGTAAATACTAATTAGAGTACCAAAACTATCTCAACTAACGCAAATATATTAATTTTGGGTTTTTTTTTTCCATAAATTAGATTTGCTTTGATTAGCTGTCAAAAAGAGAGCTTTTTTATTTTATTTGTAAGAAAACCAAAAAGAGAGTTAGATTAAGTTTTTAATTCACATTTAATATCTTCTAAATTAAAAAAAATCTGGAGACCTAAACGATTGGCCACCTTTAAATACATGTATTATTTTAAGTTTGTTTTAGACTTTTAGTTAGTAGAAAGGCTTAATCTCCTTTAGTGATGTTTTTGGTCCAATTTTCTATTAAAAATATATTTATTCTTACAGTTTTTGCTACTGATAAGGATATTTTTATTCTGGATAATTGATATTTTGTGGAAATGTATATATTTTTGAGCGTGAGGAAATCAGGAAAAAGAAACAATCTACTTTTCAGCGTCGAATGCAGATGTTTCAGAGTACTTCAGCTGTTAAATTTCAGTGGTCAAAAGGAATTTAATTACTTACAGAAAAAAAGCTGTTTACAAATCCCACGTCATTCAATTTTCATATTCTTTATCTTTTTTTTTTCGTTTTTTCCAACATCTTCTATAGTATTATGAAAGTACAATATTTTAACAAATAGGCAAATGCTTTATATATGAGAATCATAATAAATGATTATACATAGAAAATGTCAGTGATTATAACCAAACCAAGTACTTGTTGTTCTTTCACGAATCAGTGTTTGCAAGTCTACTAGTAGTAACAAGTGGAATTACATAATTTATAAAAATATATAGCATAATAATACCTTTTTGATTAAAATAGCGCAGTAATGTTAGGGTTGTGATTAGAAATTTTGTTTAGTAATGTAGTCGTTGTGTGTTTAGCAGATTACCGACTTCTTCTTAATTCAAAGACTTTACTATTCTATGTGACTTATATATGTTCTATACATTTTTATTATATTTCATGATCATGTTCTTTTTTTTTTAAGTTGATATTCATTGATGAGATACGATTGAACTACAATTGAGCCGGTGAGTACATAAACTTCCAGAGACATTTGCCGGCGAGTATAAAGAAAACTCCCGGAGATAAATAAACAACTATAAAAGACCAAACATCTAGAAAAAAGAGAGAGTCAAAATCTGAAAAAAAAAAAGGAAGGAATATCAAACATAAAAGACAACCGAAAAAAAGGCCATGAATTCTAAGAACTAAAGAGAAACCTGAAACAAACCAGTTTAACGACGTTCTCAAAGAATCTGTAGAAGCCGGATTTGAGCCAAAGACAAGTGCCACAAAATTTATTAAATAATTAAGTAGTTAACTGAAACGATTGGAAAAAACGACGATAGAAAGTGGTAAGAAGCAAACAAATAGACCGTTGTCAACCACCCAAACAAAGCGGTGGGCAATCACTCCTACTATTAAGCGGCTCAAAAAATTAAAATTTTTTTGTTTGACATTTTAATTACTTTTTGCCTATATGTATATTTATTTTTTATAATTTTATTATTCAAACCGTTAAAATGTTACCGATTATATATAACTAGATCCCGACCCGCACATACGTGCGGGGTTTCATATTTTAAAAAATTTTCTAACAAATTTTAATTCAATATAGATTATTTGTTGTTTCTATGATATATATTTTAGTGTATTAGATCTGAATTCACACGTATGTGCAGAGATATCTTTATATATATAAATTTTTATATAGATTTTAAAAATATAAAATATTTTGTTGTGTTAGTGAACTTCATAATAGTATAAATATTATATAGTTAGAGTAATGAACGAAAGTCAGTTGCGTTAGTGCATAGTTATATTTTAAGATTCGGACCTACACGTACGTGTGAAATTATATTTAAGAAATAATTAAGATATAATTTAGTTGCAAAAGTTAAATGATGTTACGGTTTTTATTTTCTAAACTAATCAAAACATTTCTAACAGTTTGATAACATGTGTTATATAGGATATGGATTCGGTTTTAGTTTGGTTATTTCATGTATATTAGCTAGGCATAACTATATTGGAATGGGAAACCTATCCCGTCCTGTATCTGTCATAAATTCTTCGTTCCATAACCCGTCTCGTATACGTGAAATAAATATATGACGGTCTCGTATCCAGCATAAATAGAATATGTGTAAATGAAAACGTACGTACAGAATTATGTGTGTAAACAAATTTATTTTATATAGTGCTCATAAGCCGAACACATACCAGTTGGATATTTAGTTTGATTTTTAATTTATGTTCTCATCTCGTCCCGTCTCGTAATCCTATTTTCATTTCATTCCATTAAATTCATAAACCAAATTCTTGTTTGCTTACCTTTAAATACCATACAATACATACTGTGAGTTTTGCAGATTAATATATATGTTGTTAAAATAACAAATATATTTTAAAATTTTTATTAATGTTTCTTTCCTTAGCTAAATTATGCATATTATTCTTTTCATTGTTTAATCATAATTAATTTGATTTTTGGACTAAAAATAAAAATTTGAGATACATCTCTAAAAGGGATATGCTATTGCTGCATAATTTGTTTTGAATACAAAATATATAAAATTAGTTTATATAAAATTTTAGTTGGATATCAAATCTTAGTTTTTCAATTCTCATTGGTTAAAAACTTTTTAGAAATTAATTTCAAATTTTCGTCCATAATTAATAAGAGAGAGAAAATTAGTTTATTTTTTTGGAAATTAATAATTATTTTAAAGAATTTAACTATTTTGTATTTAAATATATTAATTTTGTGATTACTATTGTACCCTTAATGAAGTTATTTAAAAACACTAAAAATCAATGGCATCTTTTGTAATATTTTACCCTTTATAAGGTTGTTTAATATGTAGTGATTCCCAATTAATAATATAGATTTTGAACCTCATTATAGTGTCATTATATAACGCTAATTTGATTATTTGTAACCATTTGTACCATCTTCTCCAAAACAATCGAAAAATTATTAACCGTCCTATTAATTAAAAGAAACTGCTAATTTAATGTAATACTATTGTTTTATAAATCTGTATTTTATATGACTATGTAGGCAATTAAAATTGTTGAGACACTTTTCTTTCGACCAAATCGAGTACATAGATTATTTCGAAGGATGCTTAGGCGGTTTCTGATTGTTTTATCGATGAAGTTTTGAAGATGAGTGGCTGGTGAAGAGTCTCGCCATGTCTACGGTTGTTCCTTTCTCTCTAAACGAATGAGTTGTGAGTTGAAGAGCATATCTCAAGGAAAATATGGGTTGTTGATCAAACGTCATACCTGAAATGAGTGTCCGTAGTTATACCCAGCCCGAAGTGTAGTAAACTTTTGGTGGGTTTCTCCCAAACTTGTTTAGTATATGGACAACGAAAGAAGATGTGTTTCTGGTCTCCACCCGTCCTCCGCAAAAACTTGTTCAGTAAATAAATTTTTTGCTATATATGATTCTAATTATACATTAATAAATGTTAAAGGTATTGGGAGAACCGCATGAAAAATGCATCATCGTATTTGTATATCTCCATTGATTTTAAATCATAGGTCTTGGTCGTTTTTCAAACTTCGTGTTCATAAAGAAACTTGTGTAATCATATTCGGTTTTGAATTAACCATCATCGGATGAGCAACGTATCCTTTAAAATCATCTTCGTGGTTTTCATCTTTTTCGTAGTTAAGCGAAAACTATATGAAGATTGGTAAGAAAGCACAATCACGTGCTATTGTGTTCACGTTTTTGATGGAAAGAGACGAACACCATCTTCTTCTTTCTTTCTTTCTTTTCATAAAAGTCAAAGCACAATCGTATGCTTTGAAACAAAACCAAATATATCTTTTAAAAAAATTAGTAGGGAAAGCAAACAAAAATTTTAAACGAACGTATCTCTCTTTTTTTTTCAATAATTGCGAAAGCAAATAAAATCTTAATCTATATGAATATTTGATTAAATATAACTTTACAACGCTCTCAAATTCATAAGTTTTTATATAATCAAACATTTGCACGTCAATGCATAATAGTGTTCTTCTTCAAAATGATAGATGTCGGACATACTTATATTTGATCATGTCGCTAGCTGCTAATGATATATAATATACCTATAATATATATTTTTGTATATTTTTTAAAAAGACCTATAATATACTATAAGAGTATATCAATTTATGATATATTTATACTATATAATGGCTCCATCAATTTAAGTTGAATAACTTGAATATATAATTAACGTCAGAATATATAATTTATACTTTATGGAAACTCATTCGTTTTTTTTTTTTTCCTCTAGATTTATTATTTTTTGCATTTGCAAATTATGAGAACTGTTACATAGACGATTCTACAACGGACAATTCCTTCCGACCCTTATTAGATCCACGATAGACGACATTTCTTTCTTCATGCTCTTGACGGACACCTTCAATGATCCACGACCTGACGACATTTCTCTCTCTGCGTATAATCCTGGCAAACGGCTATAATTATACATCGCTGGAGATCTCATGCACACTTACCTCCATTAATTAATCTGCAAATTTATTAATAAATCGCAGTATCTGGGACTCGAACCCCAGACCTCTTGGTGTGAAAGCATTAATTGACCCTTGATCAACCAATGAGCCAAGAGGGCTTCCACAACTCATTCGTCAAAATAAAAATAAACTTTAAGTTGCGAATTTTTTTTTATGATACACATTAATTTGACCATCGAACGAGGCCATCGTTATCGAATCAAGAGCAATAACGTGTGAATTATGTGTGTAAGTCTTATATGTCCGTGTGAAGTATTATTGGACGGTGCTAAAGTGATTTTACGACTAATCCAAGA